AAATCCCTAGGGCCAGGGAGATAGCTCAGTAGAATAAGCACTTGCCTGGCAAGCTGAAAGGCCTGAGTTCAATACCCAGTACCGCAGGAGGGGGGAATCTTTCAGGAGTCAGCTTTGGGATGTTCACACAGCTTGCAGACACCCCAGCAGGGGGCCTGCTCCTGAAAAGAGTGTTGAATGTGGCCCTCAGGCACAGACCTATGGGAGCAGGGGTATTTTTTGGCTTTCCTCTAGGTGTTTCTTTTCTTTTGCTTGCCCTAGGCCCTGACCCAAGTATCAGAGGACTGCCTGCCTTTGCTGGATGGCTGCAGGAAGAACAGGCAGAAGTGGCAGGCCCTCGCTGAGCAGCAGGAGACCACCACAGTCAACGGGGCGAACAGCCAGGCCAAGAGGAACTGAGCTGCCCACCCGGTGCAGTTGGAGTTTACAGAGACCCTGTATCTGCAGCGTGCCTGCTTTCGCCGGCACCATTTAGCTTGGGCGTAGACTTTGCCACTGCTGTACTTTTATTTTTGCACAACTTTGGAGAGCATAGCATGAATGTTTTAGTGGTCAATGGCATTTCTTCCTGTACTTCTGTTATATGCCACTGAAGTGATTACCGACACCCATCCTCCCTTCATACATGGATCAGAGCACTGTTTGTGGTATTTTGTGGACTACAAAGTGTAAGTAGTGTGCTTGCACTGTGTGACTTCTATGATTGGGGATTATAAACAACTTGTTTTTGTGTTTTCTGGGTTACCAATCTTTCAACAATGTTTGGAATCTTTTCTGGAAGTAAATTAGGAGAAAATGAAATACATGCTGGGACATCTAAAGCCATCATAGGATAGGATAAATGTCAGCTGAGAGGATTTTAAAGAGAAAAGCATACATTTGTTGAAAATGTCTTAAATTTAAGATGCTGAAAACCACATGGCAAGTACTAAGAGACAGTACTGTAAAGAAAGCACAGTCCATAATTGATTAGTTGTTTTTGAAAGAATAGGCAGGAGAGGACTCTGTCCTTTCAGTGCAGTCTATCTGGGCCACACGAGGTCACAAAGCATCCGGTGTCCCCTCCCGGATGGTAAGCAAGGAAAACCAGAAGGTCCAGTCACTGACTTCCTGAAGATGAGTGTGAGCTGGAAGTGTCGCGGCCAAGGTGGCACCAGTCGAGAGAAATGTTCTCTTGGAAGATCCTCCTGAGAATTGGCGTTCTGAAGACGAGTGAGAAATGGCCATATTTTGTTTTATGGCAGTGACGGTGAACCTTTTTGAGCTTTCGTGCCGGGTTTGCCACCACTGGTTTATAGGATAATGATGCAAACCAAAATCAAAGAATTTTGGTGCATAGCCTAAACACTGACTTTTAGCTGATAGCCTGTGGGATTTCCTTCCTACACCTTTTAGTAGTTTACATTTTCTTGGGCTTTGAACCAATTGGTGTTCCTAATTCATGTTTATTCACTTTGGAGGAATAGATAGTGAATCTACTACTATCTACTCCTAGGGGCTAGTTTACAAAAGAAAAGTTTATTGCAAAGAAGAAATGCTCAGATTTGGAGACAATAGGGAGAAAGGTACGATATGTTAGTTTCCTCCCTCATCGCTTCAGGAAAAAGTGGATTTTTCTATTACTAATTCGGATGGAAAATAATGCAACAGTCTCAGAGACCTTTCTCTAAAATGTGCTTTTTCATTTATATTTTCCCTTTAATCTTGCCTAAAATTCAACATGTTTAAAATTCTGAATGTGCACATATATTTTGAAGTTACACCTTTATTTTTATCAATTAGGTACCAAAAAAGGAAAAAAAATAAACTATGCATTGTGTTGCTGTTACTTCGTCTTGGTAAAGGCTAAGCTAAAAAGTCATCAACTAACACTGTGTGTGTTACTGTAATAGTTGTATTTGTATAAAGTTATTTTACTTTTTATTTCACATCATACAGATCAAATATATAAGGCTGCTTCTTGGTGGCACTTGTGTGTAAACTAGAGATGCAATAAAATACGAGCCACAACCACATACTGGTACACACCTGTGCGTGCATACATAATTCCTTAGCATAGAGAAACTGTTTAAAGAACAGTGATAATTAATGAACTCTTTGAATCACACACATTGTGACTTAGCAGTTAGACTAAAATATATATTCATATCCTTCAGTAGAGTTTTAGACCCCTGTGATGCTTGTCACTGAGAATTTTTTTAAAGTGTGGTAGGTAGGTTGTGTGTGGCAGATGTGGACATGTGTCATTTTGACAAGCAAGAAGACGTATTTAGATTAGAAATTGTTTGGTTTTCCTTTAGATAATGGTTCACTTTACTTCACTATGTTAGGCATTAAAAGAAGTTAAGCACTGCCATGACTATTTTTGGATATTTTACTTATTATAGAAGAGAATACTTCATTAGGACTGATTCATTAGTTCAAATATTTTTAATTTGTAAGATAATCATTCCATACATGGATTCCTATCTGTGGTATCTGGGTACAAATCAAATTTTTGTTCTTATATATTTCGTCAGTATGTTCCCAAGTTGGAAAAAAAAATACATCTAGGACTTCCTCCCCCAGCCCTGTATTTAGGTCACCCATAACTAGGAAGTTGTCCTTGGCCAGTACTGTTTGGTTTTTGGTTCCTTGGTTGGTTGGTTGATGGTTGGAGGCGTGTTGGATTTTAACAGAGAAACATGGTACTTTTAATTTCAATTTTCAGCCAGAAAAGTCCCCACTATTTGACTAACTTGTGGGAAGACGTCTATAAGATTGCATGACCAGGGGCCGGGGAGATGGCTCAGTGGAATAAGCGCTTCCCTGGCAAGCGCAAGGGCCTGAGTTCAACCCCCAGCTCCACCCCCCCCCCAAAAAAAAAAAAAAGATTGCATGACCATACGTTTTTCAGAGAGTTGGCCCTTGCTGGTCGCGGTCCTATGTGTAATTCTTAACCTCTGTGTGCCTGAAAAAGTTGTTAGGTTTGGGCAAACCCTGTCTTGAAGCCGGTGGGGCGGGGCGTGGTTGGCAACTACTTTGAGAGCCCCAGCGACCCTTGGAGACCACTGTCTGAAATGGCCTACTGGGTGAGAGAGACGCGATCTAACTCCACAGGCCATTTCTAATGCTGCATCTGCAATACCAACAAGGCAAAGGCAACATTTACTCAGCTCAGCATGAAGATTATGATCAATATGAGATGCCGAGCTGTTTGAATGCTTTGCCTCAGACACAAGCCCAAGATGATGTGGCTGTCACCACTGATCTCTTCTTTGTGAAGTATAGTCTCCTCCTTGACAAGCAGTATTGGAGATAAGAAAGTACTGTACATTAAAATGTACTGGAAGTATTCCATTCTTAAAAGAAATTGATCACAGAGAGATTCTTGCCTAGCAATGAAGTGCCTTTATTTTCAGGACATAGGACAATTTGATTTCCAATTTTCATTTGCTTTTCACTAGATTGTACTTTGTACTGCTAAATCTTATCAGACCATCACACACAATGTGGTATATCCAGTATATTTCAGATGAAAGAGGGGAAAGTTTAATTGCTATCCTTTCCTGTACACAGGTATAGTTGAAATAGACGACACAGTGTAATTGTTCAGTGTTAGACACCTGTCGCCCCACCTTTTATTGAATTCTTGCCACAGGTTAGGTCCTGGGACTGTCTGTGCAGACGGAACAGTTACCACCAAGAACTCAGAGTCTATGCGAGTGGTGCCGAATGAGAAATTTAACAGTTTCTGATCTTGCAGATTGAACATCGAAACATGGGGTCTATCCTGTGGCTTTCGTTTTCACCTGCCACATGTGTACCGTGCACCTGTCACTAAGCATCTATCAGTGAGCATCCTGTCTTGTTAGTGTGAATCACTTTAACCTCCCTGGAGCCTAAAGAGCACCTTATGGAAGGTCTCATATAGTCCATTGTTTTTCCACATACAGGCGAAGTAGTGATGAGTCAGAATTTTCATTTACTATAAACTTGCGCAGGGTCGGGACCCCTTCTGCTCTACCAGAGGGAGCGAAGAAGAAAGTATCAAAACTCACCTCACCCATATACTTACCAAAAGCCTGTGTAAGAATGTCTTAATGAATGTTGTTGAAAGCAATGTAAATAGTTGAAAATATGAATTTCTATTACACTTGAAAATATAGACCTTACGAATCATCACTAGCCACTGTTAATACCTATTTGTATTCTTCTTATACCTTTTCAATATTTGAACAAATATATAGTTTCTGGCACTATTTTTATACTAGCATAATGGCATTACTATGTATATTATGTTTAGCTTTGAAGTCATTTCAAATAATTGTGATGTTGGTTTCTTTTCTTTCCTCTCCCCCGCCCTGCGAATTCCTTCAGCTTGGCTGTTGGGGCAGAACCGTTTTTGCAGGTGTAACTCCTGCTCACCACTGGTGCCTGCGAAGTCCTCAGAGGGTCAGGGTGGTTTTCCATTGTGCAAACCCCTCACCTGTTCAGTTGTCGCCTCCTTTTGCCATGCTTTCTCAGAATAAAAAGAACGAACAACTAGATATGAATGCTGTGTGATTATTGGGAAACTTGTATTTTAAGGGTGCAATTTGAGCAGGGACTTTCGATCGCAAGCTGGGAAAATGGGCCCTATAGTCTGAGACACTTCAGTCAAGAAAGTTGGTTTTATAAAAATCTTGCCTGCATAATCATCTTCCTTTTCTTAACGCCCTTTGCTGCCAATGTGAGGGTGAAGTTTCCCACCCGCCTTCAGGCTTCCAGTCCATCGCAGCTCTGTGGGGGTGGCCGTTACCACCGAGGTGCTGAGGGAGGACCAAGGCTCGGGAGTTAGGCGCTTGCGGGTTGACAGAAGCTTGACTGAAGTCCAGATCGGTAGTTTCCAAACAGCTATTAATTTTACTTAGTTGTCTTTTTCAACTTTAAACTTTAAAGGTTCCACACCCATTCATACTGGATGGAAGAGCTACCCAGAAAGTATTAGAGACACCATTTCCCTCTCCCAGCAGGCTCTGATTTATTTGGGTTTTATGGTTAAATTTAATTTAGTTCGTTTGCTTCATAGTTTCCAGGATAGAACCATAGAGGTGTGATTAAGTGCAGAATTTCCGAGCCCATTATTGTGCCAGCAGATATCCCCCTTCGTGCGAGGGAGAAAAGCGAAAAGCTAGGCTACTCCTACGCAAAGCTAGAGGGAAAAGAAAACAAATCACATAAAGGACTAGTTTAAATTTTCTGACCACTACGGGGCGCCAGAGATTTAGTTGTATTTTTAAAAGCACTCCATTGGCCTCGAAGATGTATTTTTTTTTCATACATGAAATTTTTATTTAGAAATTCACTGATTCAACAAGAATGAGGAAAGCAAATGTTTGAATGCAAGCATACCACAAACAAATGCACAAACAACTCTCCCTAAATCTTTTTTGAGATATTACTATTGGGTAATCATGTATCATTTCATGCAATGAATATCTGTTTTGAATTTCTCAAAGGATTATGCATGTCTGAACTTTGACAGCATTTTATCAATATCTCTAAGTTTCTGTGTGTGTCATAACTAGTTCCCATGCAGAAGAGGCTATTAATTTGTGCCTTAGTTAAGGAGAAAAACTATAACATATTTCATCCATTAAGTTGCACCTATTTTAAGAAAGGAATATCAAAAACACACTTTATAAAGGAAACCACTTATCATTACTTCTCATTAATTAATGCAATAATGTGAAACCTGCCACAAAACCATAGAGCATTTCCCTAATAATTGTAGCTTCTAATCTGTATAGAATGCTTTATTTCATCCAAAGCAGCATGGATAAAATTCATATGTACTTATATGTCTAAGAGGAAAAAAATTATAACATGTGCCACGATTTTTAGCCAGAGAACAAATGAAACAAAGACAAAGAGAAAAGCAAATTTTTTCACAGATGAGTAATGAAAAGCATGTACAATGACAGTCCTGAATATATGGGAATAACCAGGAGACCGTTCTTTTTAAAAAGTATTTTTCAGCATAACAATTACCTAGAAAAGATCATAATGCATCGCAGCTTGCTGAGCAGCCCTGTAAAGCCGTGTGATGGCTCCACAAAGCACAGCTCAGTCGAATGGGGCTGTCGGCAGAGAATGGCAAGGACTGCTCTGCACGTTGATACCCTCTCTGTAAGATCTGCTCGCATACACAGCCCAGGGCGCCTCGAAGATTTAACAGAAACTTTTCCATAAGATTTTTAGGAACTCAAGAAAATAAATGTGTGGGGGGGGACCATTAGGAAATTTGAAGTCAGATTTAAATTAGGGAAAATGAACTATTTTATATGATTGTTAAGGCTTGTTTACTGCCCTGTGGCCAGCGATGAGTCTTTGGGATTTTCTCCAAGCAAATTATGTGATCACGAGAAGTCCCTCTCGGGCTCGGTATTCCAGTCACAGAAGTCAACCCTTCTGATAGCAAGGAGAAGCGTCGGAGCCCCCAGGGCCCGCAGTCGCACCATCAGCCGTGCTGCCTCTCCGCAAGCTGGGGTCCCTGTGGGAGACACGTGCAAACGCTGCAATGTGAGTTTCTGTTTTTAAGAAGGAATATGATTGTTCTATTTTAATACCATTTTTCTATTTTTTAAAAATTTACTTCTAATTTGCAGAGAATATCCATTACAATGTTAAGCTACATTCAGCCTTAATAAGGATGGGGGGGGGTTCCCAGTTCACAAACCATGTGTTCAAAATAAAAGCCAGGATGTGAGATGGAATTGAGATCATAACTATATGGATCAAAAGAAATTTGGCTGATGAAATAGCGCATCTGATTTCTCTTTCTGAATCATCTTATTTTACTCTTCTGGCCCTGTTGAGGCGAACGCTGAGCTCAACAGATTTGGTCTTCTGCCCGATAGGGTGGATGGACGCTCACCTCAGCATAGAGCGTGGGGAGAGGAGGACCTCAACTCCAGCATGAGGGTCCCAATCTGCTCCCTTCAGGGAGTGACCACATAGAAAGGGAAGAGTACGCCAGGCAGAAAAAATACCAGGGAGGAAACCCTAAAGGCAGGCTAGAGAACTTGAAAGCTTGTTCCACTGCTCATTTAAATACTTCTGAATGATTAGACTCATGAGTGATACTAATGACACATTTAAAAGTCAAAGTATGAAGCTTAAATAGTCATAAATGTTACAAAAAAAATTTTTAATGTTCTTTAAAAGCATGTCTGAGCTGTTTAGTAAGGCAAAGTACCATAAAACAAATCAAAGGTAATTAAATGCAAGGGGTGGATATGTGAGCTAACCGTACATCAGACCTAGGAATATTTGTGGATCTTTATCATAAAGAGATCTCTATCCCCCCCAAGCTGGAAGCAAAGCCCTTAGGGATAGTCTTCCAATTCAGACCGAAAGCTCTGACGAGCCCTGCCTGGGATGAACTCCCAGGGTGGGATGGGAGGAGAATCTACTCAGACTCATAAGAGAACATGGGTTTTTTTTTTGTTTTTGTTTTTTGTTTTTTGTTTTTTGTTTTTTTTTTTATTTTTATTTGTTTTTTGGGGTTTTTTGGCGGCTCAGACTGCCTGAAGGATAGGGCTAGCTGGGGATCACACTGCAGTATCCTGCTCCTGACTGCCTTTGCATGAGCAGGCGCTTAAACTACTGAGCGGAGGGCAGGTCCCCATCACAAGAGAACATGGAGGAAAGTATGGACCTTAATCTGGACACTGGTTAGGTTGCTATGGATATGGCTAAAGATGGTGATAGACAGAGGCAGATGTCAATCAGGCAT